CCCTTTCTTGTTGCTTCTTCTTCCCATGCTTTTTGTTCCTTCCATACAAGCGAATGTAGGAGGCCCAATTTTTTTCTCTTTTTCGATTACAGTTTGTTTGAATTGTGCCGGCTAGGTGTTCCCACCCACTGCAGTGTACTTGGGAGACACAGACCTGGGCAGCCTCTGCTAGGCCCGCCCCTCCAGGTCAACCTACCGAAGGCTTCACCGCTAGGGTGCATCTCCAGGCGCTGGGACCTGGTTTGGGCTAGCCTACTGGGTCTTAGCGGCGTCATGCAAGGCCAGGCAGTCCCCACCAATCCCGCTTGAGAGGGGAATATGCAACTAATGTCACTGCAGTGTCCTGTTCCAGCAAGTCTGCCCAGTCCCAATACGTCCTTTGCTGGAGCCTCCTACTCTATGAAAGGGTCCCCGTTCCGCTCACTTACTGCAAGTCGATGTAGGGCTCCCTGCCAGTCCTACTCTCAACTCCATTCGCCGATTCCCACTCTCAGAGCTTTTGCACGGCTCTCTCCCTGCCAGCAGATTTGGACGCAGCAGATCGCGGCTTCCGGTGGTGCGGGTTCTAGCTTCCCGCGCTGAGATTTTTATCTGTTCCTGCTATAGCACCAGGATTGGATTTCTAGTTGGTTTCTCTTAGATTAGTTCATTCCTGGATCGGCAGGGTGTATCTCCCCTTGCTGAGGACTCCGTACCGCACCATTCCTGGATTTTAAGCGGGTATCTCAGAGAGCCTCCGTAGCTGCTGCTATCTATCAGCCATGTTCTTCCAGAAGTCCAAAGTCCTAGATATTTTATAAAAAGTACTATATAATCTGTAATCCCAGCACTCAACAGGCTAGGGCAAGAGGATCATAAATTTGAGTCTAGCCTGATGTACATTTTTCTAAGCTGTTCTAATAGACACTCAATTTGGTTGGGTTAAGAAAGAGTTCATCAAACTAGTCTTAGAAATACTTTATACAAATACATCACGAGTGGGACACCACTCGTGGGATAGCCACTGGAGGTGTCCAGTAGAGAAAGGCATAGGTGAAGGTCCGAAGAGACCTGGGCAGCAAATACAGATGTATTTGCATAAAAAGGGTCAAGTGAGCTCTGTCAGATGTGTAAGATAGGAAAGGTTTATTAAGTGTCTAATAATTGAGATAGTACAGAATTCAGTGGTGTTGATGGAAGTAGTGTAATTGAATTGTAAGAGTAGGCCCTACTAGAGGAAATGATCAGAAAAATGAGAATAAAGTCCTTGTTTCTTTATCAGTGCTGTATTGGGCACTTTTAAGTAATAGGTGTATGGTTACAAGTAAATGGAGACAATGTATGTTTTAAAATTTTTTCAAGAATACTTGAGCCTAATAGGAGGAGACTAGGGATTAGAAAATGTTTGCCCTTTATATCCTGTGTTTTACATAAAATAGAATGTAAACATCTACAGAAATAAAAAGTATTGATATTCATGTTTGAAAAAGAGGGCTAAGCAGTGGAACAGAGGACTGAGTACCATGTACCTTTTCATTTCTTCTGTAGCACAAATCTGCATATAAATGCAAATAGATCATCATTTAGGTAAAAGGTGGAGATTTGTCAGCTAAATGAAGCACTGCAGTGCTTAGATACTGACCAAAGTTGAGTCATGTTGGCCCAAGTAAAGAATTTTGCCTAAACAGAGTTGCAGAAACACAGGAGAAGGTATAAGATGAGAAAGAAAGTAATAGAAGGAACCACGGTGATGTAAGGAGAGTATAGCAGTAGGGTAAGTTGAAAGTACAGTAGAGACATTGGAACAGAATAACAGGAGGTTCAGCATGAAGTGTAGTGAACAGTTGCTGAGAGCTGGTAGGAATATGAGATTGACTGGTCACATCGTTTCAAAGGTAAAACAGTTTTTTGGGTGATAAAATTCAGCCTGTTGGAACTAAAGTTTATTTTCATGTCACAGTGAAAGAACATTGCCAAAATTTTGGACATGTTATTGAATCTGTCTGAAAATCTAGTTCACTTATTTCGATAATTTACCAGATGTGATATTGTTTTGAATGCTTCCCTTTAAAATTTATGAGATATTTTGGTATGTTACTCCAAGTTTTAATCTTCTGATACTGCAATTCTGAGAATGTCAAACTCCAAATTGTTCAAACAACCTTTTCTGGTCTTACTGTATATTGAATTAATGATATATGTGACATCAAAATTTGCTTTTGCTTATTAATATGATTGAACTTTTCGGTTTATTGACTATATAATTGTGTGTTACCTGACCCTGTCTTTTGTTCATTTTCTTTTGGACCTTTTTTCCTTAATTGATTTCCGTTTTCTTTTTGTTTACCTTGTTTTTTCCTACTTAAGTTGTAGCTTGGCTTATTAAATAATGAACATTCTTAGGATTGGTCTGTGATTACTTTAACCAACTCATGAGGTTACAGAATTGTCATTATTAGGTTCTTAGTATTCTTTAATTCCAGGTTTGAATCTTTGAAACAAAAGTTATTTAATACTAAACGAGAAGGGCATTTCTTTCTTTTCGGTTTGATCCTTATTTTTCTTAATTTATGGGGATTTTTTTTCTTGCTGCCTCATCTCTTTTTCACTAACAAAACTAATGCTTGTTATTTAAGTGGGGGGTTGTTTGTTTGGTTCAGTTTTGGGTGTAGGTTTTTTTGTTTGTTTTGTTTTGTTTTGTTTGTTTTTATTTAATTTATTTATTTTTTTGACGTAAGGTTTCAGTCTCAAAAAAATTGAGGCTGGTCCGGAACTTGCACAGATTCCCCTGCTTGAGTGCTGGGATTACAGGCATGTGCTACCACCCCCAGCTTTATTTAGATTTTTTGAAGTATCAAATAGTCTTTGTTACCTAAATGCTTTAAATAAATATTATGTTGATACTGGAAATAAAAGTATATTCTCTAAATAGATGATTATATTTAATTAAGTCTGTCTTAATTGCCTCATTCCAACTTGTCAAAAATGAGATTCCTGCAGTTTTTTTTACTTGTTTCAAATATATTTTTCTTTAATGAATGTATGTTATATTCATTTATACATTCAGCATGATAGTTGAATAACTACTCTACTGTTCTGAGAGTTGGGTTTACTCACAGTAAGATGTTGTCTGAAGTTTTATTTTTTTCACCAAGTAATCACACTTGAAAGTACTGCGTCTCTTTTCTGATCTCTATAAACAAGAACAGTGGAAAGAGGAAATGTGCTATTCACCACCACCTGGAGCCTTTGGCAGTGCTCTGCCATCATTTAATTGACTTTGGGCAAGTCATTTAGCATGTAATGTAATATAAGTGTTCTCAAACTTTCTGGTGTCAAGACTCCTTTTCACTTAAAAATTAGTAGAGGACTCTAACTTGTTTATGTGCTTATAATTATTGATAATTACCTTATTAGAGATTAAAATTAAGAGCACTTAAATGCTAATTTTAAAATTTATTAAACATTCTAATTAATATTTTGTGAAAAATTTTTGCCAAAGTGACAATAAAACAGTGAAGAAATTAACAGAGTTTTAAATATTTTTGCAAATCTAGTATTTGGCTTAATATAACATGACTGGATTCTGTTCATAAAGCCTCTGAGGAAAGATGGTGATTTGTTTACCTTGGGGTTCCCTAGATAGGGTATTAAGGCAAGGCTGAATCAACAGTTGTTGAAGTTGTGAGCTTTCTGTATTTTGTTTTTAATTCTGAGCTGTGCCTGGCTTACCGTTTTACTAATAGGAAAACAATACAGTATATTGGAGGGAAACATAGTTTATATCCTGAATGAACAGTCGCTGAGATGACTTTCTGAGTTTTCTTTAAAAATACGTATGTACTACGTTTCATTTGAAACAGTGGGAAATAGTATGTGGAAAGTTCTGTGATCCTGGGGAATATAAGATAGCAGTGATGCTACGACTCATTTTAGGAAGATCAACTTTTCCATGGCAAGGTATTTACCTTGACTTGTGGTATTTACCAAATGCTCTAAAATTTGGAGCCAAGGATGATTTGGGTTTCCAGCTACCATTGAGAAGTAGTGTGATGGGAGCAGGTGATTTGTCCTCTATATTCCCTCATCTGTAAAATTGGAGTGCAGGACATTTCCACTGGACCCAGAGTTTTTCAGATTGTGTGGAATTTTATATGTTAATATATTTGAAGCTGAATGAAGATTCCTTATTTTGGAAATTGATTCTATCACTTTTTAATTGTGCAAAAGAAACTGTCTTTATATTCCTGTCAAGTGGTTTTTCATGTAAAGCTTGGGGTAGTCAATTTAGATAATTTTCATTATTCTGGAGAATTGAAGGCAATGGAATTTCCCCTGTGATTCTTGTACCTTCAGGTAATGTGGCTCCATTTATGTGAGATAAGGTAGCTCCTTGCCTTTTTTACTCCTAAGACACCTTTTCTTGTCAGTTTAAGAACTTAACTAGACTCATTTTGTGAATTCTTAGAATGGGCCTATTTGTCACATAATGTTAACAGAGTTGAAGAAGCCCTAAAAGTGAGTCCCTTATTTGGGTGAGACTGATGGAAGGAGAAGCCAGGATACTTTTTATGTAATCAGACCAGTGGTTTTCAGTCTTGGCTAAGCTTTGGAAGCACCTGTCAATCATTTGCCTTTTAACATTCACGTTTAGCCTTTAATGTTGAAACACTCTTCCTACTATAGGTCAGACTATTTCTTACATCTTAGGTTGCAAAGCTTTGTTTTGTTAGATTTTGAGAATTTAAGTAACCTCATGGGAAATAGGACCTTTTAATATGGAAAACTTTAAGTCATTGAATCAACTTAAAGTATATATATGTGTGGTGATGTTAGGATTTTGCTTGTCAATAAGAGTTTATGATGAGTCTTTTTGGAATAATTTGAAAGAAATGATCTTCAGGTTTTCAGAAGCACCAATAATTGTATTAAAATTTGTCTTCCATTAATTTACTCCAGAGTTCGGATTATTTTGGGTTTAGACTTTTTCTGAAAAAAAAAATCTTAAATTTTTTCTATAGGTGAAAGCACTGAAAGAGAAGATTGAATCTGAAAAAGGGAAAGATGCCTTCCCAGTAGCAGGTCAAAAATTAATTTATGCAGGTATGAACTAAATTTGCTGTGTCTTGCTTATGGTGACATAAATTTTGAGCTTTAGAAATGTTATGTTATAAATTACAGTATATTCAAGTTGATTCTTTTTTTAATTGATTCTTTCATAAACATTGTGTAGGTAAAAGCAGTGAAGAGTAGTCATTGGAATATGAGGTTAATATTCCATCTTCTCTTTAGTCACATTTGCCCTTATTTTTCCATTGAATGTTGTTTTATATTCTTTTGTAATCTTCATATAACTAGCTTTTGTGTTTTTAATGCAACTGAGTTTCTTGGTTTTATTAATCTAATGAATTGGGACCATATAGTGATTTTGTTTATTAATGTACTTAAAATCAAATTTAGTGCCTCTCCCCCCCCCCCCCACTTTGAAACAGGGTCTCACTATGTAGTAGTTCATGCTGGCCTTGAATTCACGATGCAGCCTGGGCTGGCCTCCAAACTACAGCAGCCATCCTGCTTCAACATTTCAAGTGCCAAATATCTATTTTTAAAGAAACCACTAAAATTAAATTATATAGAAAGTCTTCTGTTGAGAGGCATTATAAATATATGATAAGGATGAGGGAAAGGATTAAAGATAAAGCTTTCTTAGAAATGAATAAAAAAAAGATGATCCATTACAACACAGCTAATGATGAGAACAGAAAATTGCAAATTTTATTATCTTCACTGGTAACCAGGAAAAACTTGTTCAAAAATCAATTCGATGTCAAAATTTAATAGAGAAAATTCTCTTTGTTCTTCAAAAGAGTACTAGGTACTGTTGTTGTAGATACCAAGGTGAGTCTTTAATTGCCTGCAAGTTCCTGTCTTTTTCTAGATCAGAGATTTTGTAGTACTTCTCTAAATGAGGCAGGTTAGAGAAGGTGCTAGCTCCATGATCTAAAGCCCACTATTTTTATGGGTCAGGATTCAGAATCTTAATGAAGCAGGCATAAAAATACAATTTATGGTACCTGCAACCTGTTCTTTAATTCTTACATACAAGTAGGGACTCTGCTTTCTGGTTAATGTTCCTAATTTGTGGTGCAAATAAAGTTTTTAAAGACGGAAAACTAGATGGACGTGGTGGTGCACGCCTATAATGCCAGCACTTGGGATTATAAACAGGAGGATCACCTGGACTGCATAGTGAGACTGTCTCAAAAAGACTAAATAATAGTAATAATAATAATAATGGAAAACTAAATGCTGGGGATATAGCTCAGTGGTAGAGTACTTGCCTACCATGTTTGAGGTCCTAGGTTCCAACCCTAGTCCTGGGGGCAAACAAAGGAAAGCTGAATTCCAGGAATCAGTTTACTGATACTCCAAGGTATCAGATTACTATTATCCTGGCCTTCAGCTGACTACAATCTTAGGTACCCTGCCTATGCTTTACTGAGTTCTATACCATCTTCCCTTTTCCTGTATACCATCCTACTTTTAGAAATGTTTTTGTAGTGTCTGGCTGTCATAGCATTGGAATACTGCTAATTAGTCTAGTATCTGATATTTCAGGAAACTCGGAAGTTTGTTGCTATTCCCTTCTATCAGGAAAGAATGTAGGTTATTTCCCAAGGCCTATCTGGGCAGTCACAATATTGGATTTTCTTTCTTTTAAGAGCTTCACTTTCTCAAGATCTATTTCATGTGTCCTTGCCCAGCAAGTCTTTTATATAACGAATATATTTTTAAAGATTGCTTGATACTAAGCCAGCCATGGTGTCACACACCTGTAATTCCACAATCAAGAGGCTGAGGGAAGAAGAGTACTGTAAATTCGAGACCAGACTGTACTACATAAGCAAGTTTGAGGCCAGCTTGAACTACACAGACCCTGTCTCAAAAAAATTTTTTTTAATTTTTTTGCTTGATATTGTATTTACAGGAGATATATTTGGCATCTTGTAATCAAGTATTTATTCTTAATTGATGTGTTGCCATTTAGTTTGTCTTTATTTGGCTGACTGGTCAATGTTTTACTTGGGAGAATAATAGAGTTAACATTGATGATAAATTAATAGAAAATTGTTTTGATTTCATTTATGTGTAAGGTAAAGATTATGATGCCTTAAATTAACATTGTCTTCCTCTGACTTAGGTAAAATCCTCAATGATGACACTGCTCTCAAAGAATATAAAATTGATGAGAAAAACTTTGTGGTGGTTATGGTGACTAAAGTAAGTTTCAGCCTCATTCTGTGTCTTCACACATGTGAGTTTTAAAAAAATTAATGATCCAAATTCCGCATAACAGGCACAGTTTATATATCTGTAAAATGGTGTACTTCACTGCTGTTAAAGGTGTTTTTAAGCTTATCTTGCATCAACCATTTAATTGATAATTTCATTTATAATTTTTATTTAAACTAAAACAATTGAAATACTAAAAACTCTTGTTAAAATTGGTTTTGCTACTATAGTTAAATACTGCATAATTTTAAAAATATGATTAACAGGACCAGGGATGTAGCCCACTGACTGGAAGCCCTGGATTTGAGCCCAAACATTTTTTTAAAAAAGTCACACTTAGGGGGCTGGGGATTTAGCTCAGCGGCATAAGCGCCTGCCTTGCAAGCAGGCAGTCATGAGTTCGATCCCTGGTACCGATAAAAACGAAAAAGACAAAAAAAAAAAGTCACACTTAGCATCTTTTATTCTATACATTTTAATAAGGGTGCTTTAAAGGGGTTTGATATTTACTAAACCTGGCAAACTTCAGGTAGAAAAGGCATGAAATGTAAACACATTATTTCAGTGAGATTTCTTCGCAAAGAAATGAAATTTTTGAAAAGTAGAAAAAAAGAAACAATGGAATGATTTTTATGAAGAAATTTGAATGAGAACATTTTTTGTGATTTATTGGACTAAAGTTATTTGGGATTTTTGTTTTTGGGGATTTCTTTTCCCTTTTTTGGATTTTTTTTTGTTGTTGTTTGTTTGAGATACTATGTAGTACAGGCTGGTTTTAAACTCACATAGTCCCTGGTAGCCTCAAACTCAGGGTAATCCTCCTACCTCAGCCTCCCATGTAATGGGATATAGGTGTGTCACCATACCCAGTTTGGATTATTTATAAAAGTGAAATTTTTCTTCAGAAAATGACCATGGGTTCTTTGAAAGACTATTAAATACTGTTTGAATTTCCAGCTTCCAAAACTTCAAGCTATTGAACCTCTTTTTCTTATAAACAGTATTTAAACTCCATGGTCAGGTTGTTTCCACCCTCTTACTTACCATTAATTTAAAACTAAGAATTATCTTGCCGGGCATGGTGGCTCACGCCTGTAATCCCAGCACTTGGGAGGTTGAGGTGGGAGGATCTTTGGGAGTTCGAGACCAGCCTGGGCTACAAAGTGAGCTCAAGGCCAGCCTGAACTGCATTTTGAGATACATAGCGTCTCAAAAAAGACAAAAGAAAAAAATTAACTTGTTTGTTTAAAATTAAATTTACTTGCTTATTTAAATAGTTGTTTGATCCATAATCATGCAGTGGAGAGTTAAGACAAATACAGAAGTTCTGCTACTTGTGACCTTAATTTTTAGTATTCAGTTGTCATATAATAGGAAGGAACAGTGTTATCAATAAGTAACTTTACTTTACAGTGAAACACCTGAGATAGCTACTTTATAAAAAAAAAGAGGTTCAATAGCTTGGAGTTTTGGAAGCTGGAAATTCAAACTGTGGTTCAGGTTCTCTTAGCGGCAACACTTCTGAGGGGGAGCACGTGTGTATTTGTATATTCCATTCGTGTGTGGTCTCTGGTCACCTTGTAATCAGAATTCAGTCACAAGAGTTCTACCCTTGTGACTTGGTAACAATAGCCTAATCACGTAAGCCTCACCTTTTAACTCCATGGTCAGATTAAGTTTCCACCCTCTTAATTACCATTAATTTAAAACTAAGAATTAAGCCGAATAAGTTGGTTGCAGGAGTTGACAAACATACCAAGCAGTGTTACTTGGAACGGTAATTGAAACAGTTTATCCAAGGCCAAAAGGGGAATAAATGTGAGGATTTTATTTTCAAAATCACAGAATAATTCATAGTAATAGAAAATTTTACTTGCTATAAACTGAGGAATAAAAAGCAACTAAACAGTTTATATGTGTTCAACTTGAAATTTTTTTAATCAAGTAAGAGCCAAAATGATTTTGTTGTTATTTAAGCATCAGGTGTGCGGTCTCTAGCCCCACCACTTCCTTTACCCCAAATTGAGGCTCTACCTTCACTAAGCACTAACTTATTCTTCTTCTGTTATGCTAGAGCAGCTGTCATTCTGCTTTCTATCTCCCTTCACTCTAGATTCATAGTGGAAATCAACTTTTACAGTAACTGTCCTTTTGGGGCTGGCTTATTTCACTTATAGTGTCTCCGAGATTCATCTGTGTTTTAGTAGATATCATAATTTCATTCCCTTCAAAGCTGAATAATACTTTCTTCTTGCTAGTTTCATGCACATTAAATAGGGTATAGGGTAGATGTATAGTCATGTATCAGGATATGTTTTGTTACTGCTGACATAATCCTTTTGTATTACAGTAACCTTGATTGAGAATATATGAAATAAGCAGAAAAGACCTCAATAGATGCAAGTCTTTGAGGAGTAGATACTTACATTACACAGAATTCTGATAATATTCACGCTTGTTTTATTTTGAAGTTAATAAAACAGACCAACTATTAGAAAGGAAATAAGGCTCCTGTGGTTGAGTACTATGGAAGCAATGAGAAGACTATTAAGAATAGAGGAATGGGGCCAGGGACACAGCTCAGCAGCACAGTGCCTGCCTGACAAGTGAAGTCAAGAGTTCAATCCTGGTACCAAAAGAAGAAATAGAGGAAAAAGTTGCTTAGATCAAAATCAAAAAGAAAAACTTCAAAAAGCAGAGGGTCTTGATATTATCTAGATAAAGTTTAAATAATTCTTTTTAGAGAGAGTCAGTTCTTAAAGGCATGATCTGTTATATTCTGTTGACCTCAAGTAATTAAGGAAAATGTTCAGGGGATATAATAAATCTTGTTACTTTTAGGTATGTAAAAATCTGAATCTTCATCTTTGGGAAGCTCCAGTTTGCCCACAATTTCATTACATAAGGGTTTCTTCTTACAGGAGTTTCAGAACATTGATAACCTTTATTATATTGACAGTTAAAGTTATAGAACTGAACACAGACTCCTAGCACAGGGAAAGGAGGTGTAGTAGGCGCTAGTATTTTGTAAAAACCCCTCCATCCGTTTTCTTGCTTGTTAGAGATGGGATCTCGCCTTGAACATGCAGCGATCCTCAGCCTCCTGAGGGTTCAGATTTTAGGCCTGTGCCACCACATCTGGCTTCTTCCTTCATCCTCGCACCAGCCGTTTTTTTCTCCGGTGTACTATTTGCTTACATCTAACAAACACGAGGCATCTTCTTGCTTCTATAGTTTGTAGATTATTCATGTGGCAAATTATACTGTATGTTAATTACATCAAAAGAGTTAAGTTTTTGCCATAGGAAAAATGTGAACTAAAGAGTGAATATTGCGGGGGGGGGGGAGCAGCTCTTAATTCTGTTTGTGGGCTGGTGGGGTGGTTGATTGTGGTGTCTGAGAGAGGGTGTTGCCATGTAGTTCAGGTTGGCCTTGAACTCAAGGTGATCTTGTATCCGTCTCTGTAGTGCTAAGATTACAGATGTGCACCACTAACAGGTAATGAATATTGATGGGCCTCAAGAGAAGAGTAAAGCTCCTATAGTATGATTTTGTTTTTCTCTGGGAATCTTTTTTTTTTTTTTTGTCTCTTTACATACATATTGCAAAATATTATTAGTCTTTTTATATGTATACTTACTAGTTATGGTTAGTATTGGGATTTTCTTCCTAAAATTCAGACAAATGTTTGACATTTTCATTAATAGTCATACTTCTTTTATTTCAAGAAAATTGTACTTTCAAGAAAATTATTTTGACAGTGCTTTTAAATTACAGTAAGTAAAGTTATGATCAGGGCACATAAATTTTTCCAGGAAAATCATTTGGATTTTAAAATAGCAGTGCCTTTTGTTTCAGTTTCATATTAACCTGTTAGGTAGACTGAACTTGCTGGCTGAAGCCACTTGTGGTCTGCAGTCAAGGTAACAGAAATGGTCTTAAGAACTTAGAACATGACAAAGTGATTCAGTTTGTTAATACTGGTCATTTATTATGTCATTTTACAAAATTATGTTCAAGTTACAAGTTTGTATTAGTGTTGTTTGGGTATCACATAGTATATTTTGTTATAATTATTTTGCTTTTTAATATACTTAGCCCAAAGCAGTGACTACACCAGCACCAGCTACAACGCAGCAATCAAGTCCTGTCAGCACCACCACCGTTAGTTCCTCCACAGCAACAGCTGTGGCTCAGGCATCAACCCCTGCCCCTGCTTTGGCTCCCACTTCCACACCTGCGCCAATTGCTCCAGCAGTGACAACAGCATCTTCTGAACCTGTGCCTGCTAGTGCAGCTCAGCAGGAGAAGCCTGCAGAAAAGCCAGCAGAGACGCCGCCCGCTAGCAGCCCCACATCAACTGACAAGTAAGAACTGGATTTTAGGGAACTTCATCTCTGAATAGGTACACAACAAAAATGTGTGATATATATATTTTTTAAAGTTAGTACATGTTTGCAGTACACAGTGCCACATTCATTGTGGGGATTCTGCATATGCATCTCACACATTTTTTTTTCCAAATTCATTTCACTTCAAGGAGAAAAGAAATTAAAAGTTTCAAAACAGGTCAATCCGATGTCCAATATATCCTAATTCCTTTTTTTTTTTTTTCCCTAAAAATACTTTTATCTTCTCCCCAATCTGTTGTTCTCCTTCTCACTTGAAAAGTTCTTCCTACTTCATGATTATCTTCCATTTTGCTCTTTATGTGTACTTTGGGTTTCCTACACAAGAGAAGCAATGTGGTATTTAAACTTGTGTGTCTGATTTATTTTACTTAAGATTATAGTCTCAAAGTGCATCCATTTACCTAAAACCACTTCAAGTTTATCCCGCTTTATGACAGAGTAATACTTTGTTGTGTATAAGTTACCACTTTTTTATATCCATTTATCTACTGGTGGACATATGGGGCTTTTTCCAAGATTTAGCTATCATAAATTGTGCTGCTATAAACATGGGCATGCATGTATCACTGTTGTGATGATTTTATCTCTTTCAGGAAGATCCTGCGTGTATTTATTTTGAATAATTTTGTTTTGATAAAACTGACTTCATATCTCCTAAAATTTTTTTAAACTATATTCTTAGGTCTATTTTGATAGTCTACTATAAATACACATATTCCCTTTTATGATCCAGGTATTCCCACTCTGTTTTGTTTTTTTTTTTTTTTTTAAGGTGGGAAGAAGAATGATTTATTTTGAGTAGAAATGTTAGAAAATAAAGTGACCAGAAAAAACAGTTACAGCCTTGCTACCATCATTTTTTATCTTTGCCTTATATTTCTGGTTACTGTGTTTTTCATAGGCACCCTTCCACATTCCAAGTATTTCTAATTGCTGAATAGCATTGTGTGTGGTTCTGACATTTGTTAGTTTTTATAACCTTTGAGAAGTAATTAATACCTTTGAATTTTTTCATCGTTTATGAATCATGAATGACAACCAGGACCTAGCTCATAGTCATTATCAGAATTAAGCAAAGTATTATATAGTTTGTAAAGTAACACATGAGGCACACTATTTGCAGAGAATCAGCAGTTGTTGATACCTTACCTAACAGTATTTGTTGAACCTGTGGGTTGTTGGAATTTTTTACTATTGTATCTACCTTTGTTAACATATATAAAGGGTAAGCTCGTATCTCTGGAGTTCTTGGTTTGGTTTGGTTTTTGAGATAGGGTCTCACTCTGTAGTTCAAGTTGACGTTGAATTCACTATGTAGTCCAGAGCTGGCCTCCCAACTCAGGGCAGTTGTTCTGCCTCAGCCTCCCAGATGCTGGGATTACAGCTGTGCATTACCATGCCCAGCTGTCTCTGAAGTTCTGTAGAACGGAAAAGAAAACGTAGAGACATTTGAAGAAAGAAATAATACCTTGTGGGGAGTTTATAGCTTTGCTTTGCTTTGCTTTGCTTTGCTTTGCTTTGCTTTGCTTTGCTTTGCTTTGCTTTGCTTTGCTTTGGTTTGGTTTGGTTTGGTTTGGTTTTGGTCATCCTTAAATAATAAATGACCACAGCTAGTACATTGGTCAGGGTTATCTTGGCTGGAAATCCATGCTTTACTCAGAGAATTTATTATATTCGTAGTCTGCTTTTACTGGCATTCCTGCTGTATTGTGATTTAGTTCAGCTCAGGCCCTCAGTGGCAATATAAAATAAACTTGAAATCAACCAAACAATGAAAACTTGAGTGACTGAAAGTATTTGCTGACATGAAATATGTAACAAGACATACAGCAATGATTAGAAAGAATCTTTATTCAAAGGGAATATAAGATGTCCAACGGGTGCCTGAAACCATGCAAAATACTGAATCCTACATGCTGTGTTGTTTCCTATACGTACACATGCCTGTGATGGCATTTAATTTATATATCCAGCATAATAAGAATGGAACAACTAAGAATGCATATAATGATTGTGACAGTATACCATAATAAAATTTACACGTGAATGTAGTCTGCCTTAGATCAAGTAATACAAGGATTACTAGAACATAAGCGCTATGATACCTTGACAGTTGCTCTGATAGCTGAGACTAAGTGACTTAACAGACAGTAGTAGCATGTATAACATGGGTGTCCCTCCCAGGTGGGACAGCCCAAGGCCAGCACAAAATTTCATTGTCCCACTCAGTGTGCTACACACTTGAAAACTTTATTTTGTGCTTAAGTGTGACTTCTGTGTCTTAACCTAATAACCTGTGTTTGGAGGAGACTTAGTTACCTGGGTCATAGCTGGAAAGACAGCACAGACTCAGGAAATGTATTTTTCCTGTACTTGTCTAAAACACTTTGCTTTTGGCATTCTGTGACCCCACTGCTTAACTTGAACCCTTTTTCCATGTACAGCCAGAAATGGATTCAGCTTTCTTACCTAATAGTAGGTCATCCAAAGTCAGATTAAGCTGTTACATTTAAGGACTGTTGATCAAATCTCTGTGAAAGGAAGTTTACAAATTTAACAAATTTGTAAGCAAATTAGTTCACCCAAGCCATTTAAATACTGTAAACTTAATGAAATGTCTTGATTCAGTATAGTTTGTCTTACTTTCTAAATTGCTTTAAGCTGCTTAAACTCACAGTATGAGAGTTTCATAATTGAGCAGTATATCTTGTATGCTGATAACAATTTAAATTTTTATTTCCACTGTTCAGTGTTACCAGTGTTACCAGCATAACTTAACTATTCTAGGGTCAGAATTACCTTTTTGTATCAGCAGACTGTTGTGTGAGTTACCAGTGATCCACGAAGCACACACTAGAGTCATCTACTTAGTTGGCCTTTGTACATCAACTACTTATGCTTATTTCTCAAAATTATGTATCTTAGGGAAGGATGATACAGGGAAGGTGAGAAAAAATTATAAAAAAACTCTTTAAATGTGCCTCTGTTCTTTCTATGTATGCTGTTAAATGTTTAGCATCTTGCAAAAAACAAACTTACTGGGCCGGGGATATACCTCAGTGGCACAGCACTTACCTGGCAGGCGCAAGGTTGTGAGTTCGAATCCCAATCCAAAAAAAAGCCCCACAAGAAAACTTAGTAATTATCATGAGGTGTACCATGGTATAAATATGCGTGGTATCAAAAAGTTTGTTGTATGTGAGGGTGATCTGGTTGTGACACCTGTCACCCCCATTGATCACCAGGATTGATTGAGTTGATTTGACTAGCTACTCAGGTGTCCCCTTTCCTCTACACTCTATGTGCGTCCCCCCCAAAGCTTCATGCGTGATCAAAGATGACCACCACCCCTGATAGAGGAGATTTTCCTTGGTCAAGAGTATTCAAGTTGCCACACTCCCCCGCTAGAACCTCCAAACAAGGTCTCAACGTTTGTCCATCACTGTTGGCCTGATACTTTACTATTAGGGATATTGCTGTTTAAAAGTCACCTGCTACAGTACAGATTCTACTTCTTGTCTGCCTTGGAGAAACTATAATGCTTTGAGGATGTATTGTTTGTCTTTAAGAAGATTCAGATCAACCTCATATCCATGAGTAAGGAAATAATTTGATCTGCCTTTTATTCATAACTAGAGAACAGTACTACTCAAAGTGTAGAAAGAAGTACATAGGCAACTTTAACATTTCTAAGGGAGAGTTTGAAATGAATTGTTGGGTTCCACCCCAGATCTCGAAAAATTAAAATTATCTGGGGTAAATCATAAAAAATCTGTCTTGTAACAAGCTTAGCTTCGCTAAAGTTGGAGACATTTTTATGTCTTAGTTGCTTTCTTATCACTGAGTCACAGTTCCCAACACCTAAAATTTAAAGGAGGAAAGGTTTCTTTTGGCTCACAGTTCATAGAGGTTCCAGTTTGTGGTCAGCTAGTTCTAAGGAAAGGTGGTGTGTAAGAGGAGAAGGTCAAGAGGATGGGGAGGGAGTTAGACCTCTCCAGGCCACGCCCCCCACTGACCACCACCACCCCGCAGGCTTCACTCCCAACATCACACTTAGCCAGCAGCTCCTCAGTGCGCTGATCCCCTGGTGGGTGTCACACCCCCATGATTCAGTCATCTCACAAAAGCCCCACCTGTGAGCACATTAGTCTTCCAGGGGACATCTAGATACAGACCTAATACTTGATAACTAATACTACAGAGCAGTTAAAGGGTATGGTATATAAACATACTAAATGAATGTGATTTCAAGGTTTTTATTGAATATGAAAGGTTGCAAAACAATATAGGCAATAGCCATAGACCCTCCAAAAAAACATGTTATGAAACATCATTTGTTTTCCAAGAGTGTGCGTGTTAATGTGTAAGAGAACGTTACAAAGGTCTGGCTCATACTAAATGATTGCATTTTCTCTGTTTGGCGGCGGGGGGGGGGTGATGAGGCTGAATGAAGCTTGTAGAATGGTGGTTGAAGTGTACATTTCATCTTTTAGTGCTTAAGATGGTAGTTTTAAAGCAATGTTTGAGAATAATGCAGATTATTCTGAAGCTTAGTAATACCAGATATAAAATGTATTATAGATGATAATGATTAAAAATTGGAATGGCTCACATTAGAAAGATTGCTGAGTAGAATAGGCAGTAATCTAGAAATAGAACCAAAACGGAACTTTTAGTTAAAGACAATTGAGGAAATGCTCTTGGGATAAATGCTTCACTGTCTGAATGGGGAAAAATGGGTCCTTTGTATTGTGTATGTATAAAAATAACTTCTAGATGGATAAAGAGTTAATACAAAAGAGGAAATCATAGACTGGTATAGAACAAGAGAAAAACAAGAATAAAAGTTTTAAGCCAGACTACACAATCCTTAATAACACATTGATTTGGTCCAATAAATGGTATGCTATGTATTTCTTTTTTAAAAAAATGGCTATAGATGAGGTTGTAACGTGGAATAATTGTTAAGTTTTGAAAGCCCTACTGAAATGAGGGCGAATGGAAATAAAAAGAATTAAGATGTGTTATAAACACATACTAATAAAAATAGCTTTTCAATTAAAATAACCATGAGAAAGCAAGACACTAGTTTTGTTTGTTTGTTTGTTTGTTTGTTTTGAGACAAGGTCTCTCTATGTAGTTCATGTTGGCCTCAAACTCTTCACAGCAATCCTCTTGCCTCAGCCTCCCAAGTGCCAGTGCACCCAGCTACTAATTATTCTTTGAAACTGGTATCTTACTGATTGTCTTTGAAGTATGGGTCTTGAGCCAAAGATTATTTGACTTTTATAAATACTGTTTTGAAATTACTACCTCTGCATGTTATTTTTACTGTCTAGTTAGTGAAAAAACTCAAAATATGCCAGAGGATTATTTTAATCATAATAATAATTTGGATGTTATGATGCCAGGTACTTTCTTGAACATCTTACTAGCAATAAATCCTACCCAAAATACTTTGTAGTATATACTTTGGAGTAAATGGCTGTAGATGAGGTTGTGACATGGGATAATTGTTATTGTTATTGACCTTGTGAAATTGAAGAAATTGAGGCTCAGAAAGTTTGAATTCAAATGTGGATTTGCTAGCTCTTGCTGTACTTGGGAATGCTTTCTCAGAAAAGTATAATATAGGTCCCTCCTTTGCTATAGCATATTAAATTTATAAAATACTGGTTTCCTTGTGTATGGTTTTTTTTTTAATACTCATCCCCACTACCGTCTTGTACTCTCCCCCTTATCCTATCATGAGGTTTTTTGTTACTGTTTTAAAAATTGAAATGAGCCAGGTATGGTGGTGCGCACCTGTAATCCCAGCACTCAGGAGGCTGAGGAAAGAGGATCAGTCACCATGTTTGAAACAAGCCTGAACTATGTAGCAAGGCCCTGTATCAAAAGGCATTAACAACAACAACAAAAAACAATGTAATGTACATGTATGGTGGATGTATGCGTGCATGGTGCTGATTTAAACTTCTACCTTTGGCACTTTTGTAACCTTAAGTTTATTTCTCTTTGGCTATCTCTTTAAGGCATCTAAAAATATTGCCTATTTGTTATTCTGCACTTACCTGTGATTTCCTAAGAGTAGCTTAGATCTTGGATTTCTCCTACATCTGCCTTTTTGTATATGCCATGTTCCTTGACCTGAATCCCTTCTTTCATTTAAATTCTTCAGATGTACCTGTAAAACCTTGCTATGTGGAGACTTGTGACCAGATTTGGCTTCTATGTGTTCTATTTAGTGATATATTGATGTTGATATTTCTTCTGTGATTTGATTTATCCAGTATTTTATTGTGCGTTACCATTTTCATATTTCTTAAATAGAGTAAACTGAGTGCATGTTATATTTAAAATGATGAGTTCTCACAATGGCAGCAGTATTAAGACTGAAGTTACATTCCCAGCCATAAATGTTACATGTAATACTAAACAGAGTAGCCAGACTTCTTATTCAAAGGCAGAACTCTGTGAGTTGAATAGTTACAAAAATAATAAAAAGTAAATTTTGCATACTTTTTGAAATGTGGTTTTTCTGTAAAACTTTTCCAGTACATCAGGAGATTCTTCTCGGTCAAATCTTTTTGAAGATGCAACAAGTGCACTTGGTATGTATGTGCTTTATCTTGTATGTAACCAACTCAGAACAGGAAAGAAGTTTGCATTTCACTTTTTTAGATTACAATAATATGTTAATTCATGGTTGCTTAAAATTGAGCTGTATAATTATTTAGGTAACTAATGGTCAATCAATGTATATGTAAATGTAATCTTGACAAGATTTAATCTGTGTGTAGTTTTATTATGAAATGTCTTTGAAAGAGTTTACAGTTTCTGTCCGTCTTCCTCACACTTCATGTTTATTCACCTCTAGGTTTCCAGTTTGATGACATCTATAGATTCCCATCTGCATTTTTTCACTTCTATTAGCTTACAGCAAAAATTTCTTATCCCAGCTTTTAATTTTACTAACCAAATAAAGCCTCTCCTTCCTGTACCCCTTATCTGTCAAAATTAGCTTTTTCCTTGCTAACTCTAGTACAGTTCCTACAGATTATTGGTTTATTGGCTGGCGGTATTATTCCTATTCTTTGGTTCACCAGATAGAAGGCTGGCAGGAGATGGGCCCAGTGGCTTTAATGGAGTATAGACTCCTGCACCAGCAGAGTTTTATCAGTAGCACTCTTAAAAGGATCTGGGCTAGTTCCTCTGACCTAATTAGATTTGAGTTGCCTGGTGCCCTATACTTAATGGAGTATGGTTTGGTTTGGTTTGGTTTGGTTTTTTGTTTTTGTTTTCGTTTTTATTTTGGTGGGAGAGCTGATTTTGGTTTTTGGCACCAAAACCAAATGTCTTAACTCAGAGCTTTCTGCTTGCCAGGCAGGTGCTGTGCTGCTGAGCTACATCCCCAGCTGAAGTATGCTTTATAGTGTCAAAATAACTTACACAATCTAAGATGGTCTAAGAACATCAAATCCAGATTTTCATCTTGCAGGAATTAACTGAGATTGCTCTGCTACCAAATGACTGTATCAGTCAGCATTCAGGCAGGAAGACAGAAGTCACTATACTTGTAACACAAAAAGGGTTGCCCTTAGCATATTAGTTCCAGAGGTAGTTGGAAGGGCTGGAAAGAGGGTTACTCAGAGAATGGACAACTAACTGTTCTATAGCCTCAGAGCTGGAGCCAGCTGGCATTTACCTTAATGCTGCGGAAGTCTCTGACTGGCACTGCTGCTGCTGCACCTAAGCCCGTGACAGTGAAGTCTTTCTTTTGCATCTATATCTTTTAGAATACCCCTAATCAACTTTGTACAAAGATTCCTTTGTCCTTTAATCTTTTATATACCTGATCACTGTGTTGATTCTCTGCCTCTTGACTTTCCTCAACTTCTTATACATCTCTTCCTGACCCATATTTCAGACCATTCTTCTTTAGGCTTTCTAGTTAGTTCTTTTTTTTTTCTTCACATCAATAGTTCTGCTCTAGGCCATAGGTCAAAGTTTAAACATTGAGAATGGCCAATACCACCATTTACCCTATGGATCTGGAAGTCATGAGCTTTTTGGTTGTCAGTTTAAACAAATAAGACAGAGCTCCCAGACTTAGTTATTTAAACTGTTAACCAGAAAGCCTACAACTTCCACAAACATTTTAGATTTCAGATTGACTCAACTTTCTGTTCCCCATCCAATTGTTCTTTGTTCCCTTACTTAATTTTTGCACCATCATCCTCCCTTGACCTAGACATTAGCATTATCCTTGACCCTCTGCCTCTCTTAGCCCAGTGAGTCTGATTGATTCTCTTTCCTGAAGTCTCTGGAATATTTGTTTCCACTGCCATTCAGTTATCTTAGTTCCTTACCTCACTTTGGTGTTATCCTTTTCTATCTAGTCTCTTCCTGCCAGAGTGAACTTTGTAAAAGGCAAATTTGATGGGGTCATTGTTACTTCAGTTGAGTCCAGAACTCAAACTTATCTCAAACCTCACCTTCAAATTTAAAAGGAGATGAAAATAAATCTTTCTCATATGGATATTGTGAAAACTAAATCTGATACACTGTCTTAAAATAGTGTAGTTTTTGTCTTCCAGAGCTGGTTTCTTTTGATGCCTTGTTTCTCTTATCTGGGAACTGGGTGATTGAGTGACTGTACTTGAACTAAATCATTAGATACTTAGGAAAATTTTTTTAAAAGTTAACGCAGTTATTTATGGGAACAGGAAAAGAAAAGTCATGTATTAGCTTTTGTCTGTTACTGTAATGAAATATCGGAGGCTGGATACTTTTTAAAGAGGCTTATGTAGTATAATTCTGGAGCTCCAAGGACATGGCAGTGGTCTCTGGCCGTGCTCTGCGAAGCGCATGCTCTGCGAAGCGCATGCTCTGGATACAGCGGCCTACAATGACAAGTATAAATCCCATAAACAAAAGATAAACCTCAAAAATGTCAGACAAGTGCACACACTTTATAAACATGCAAAACTACCTAAATAGTACATAATTAAACTATTAGAACAGTATGAGAAGACCAAGCAAGCCAACTGGCTCTCATATCACCATACTGGGTACTAAGTTTCTGCGACTTAAACTCTTGAGAGGTAATTAGGTGTTTCAGCTTTTAAATATCTCGGATTTTGAAAATTCTGTATTGAACAGGCAGTGAAACTGATGCCAAATGGCATGGTCCCCTACACAGAAGAACCTGGGTTTGAATGGTGGAAGGGTGGGGATAGTGAACCTTAAAATAAATTTCAAATTATAATGATTCCAAGAACACGTGAGTGAGAACTCCATAAAGAAAAGTGGGGCTACCTAGCAGGGTTAGGCAGTACCTTTCAGACACTGTAGCTTTTAAATTTAGAAGAACCTGGCCATTTGGAAATAGCTGGCATGAGTGGAGAGCCTGAAAGAGAAGGTATAACTTAGTAACTTGGGAGTGTCATGGGGTGGTGCATTGAGAGCTCCAAATGAAATGAAGTTTTCTTTCTTAAAGGTCACTTTTCCAGCTAAAGAATGAGTTGTAGGTGGAGGCAGAGGGGGTAATCCTGATCAAGAGATTGCTGTGGGGTGGTCTTAAAAGGTGGCAGTGGAAACAAGAGCTAGATGGGTTTGGGATATACTTGAGAGGAGGAAGGGCTGGTACACTAGTAGATCAGATATGGAAAGATGGGGAGAATTCTTGAAATCACCAAGCTTTCTGGTTAAGCATCTGGACAAATAAAGATACTGTGTATTGAAGGGAAAAGATAGACAACAGGAGGAACATTTGAGGGCAAATCTGTTGAGTGAGTGGAGTGTAAAGGAAGTGGGCACAGCATACGTGTAGAGTTGTGGCTGTGGAGGGAAGAGAGCAGACAAATGGACCAGTTACTGAAGGATGGAGACCTCCTTTTCTTTTCCCTTTTTTTTGGAGGGTAGTGGTGGAGGTTTTGTATTTTGAGATGGGCTCTTACTATGTTTCCCAGGCTAGTGTTAAACTCTTGGACTCAGGTGCTTCTCTCACTTCCATTCTCCTCCTGAGTGCAAAGATTATAGGTGTGAACCACCAAGTCTGGCTTTCATTTGTGCCTGTGAAACATACTCATTTCTCTTGTTAGTAGAGTAAACTGTAGTATAGTAAACTACAACGAAAAGCCAGGCGTAGTGACTCACACTTGTAATCCTGGTACTCAGCAGCCTGAAACAGGATTGCTACAAATTTGAGGCCAATGTGAGCTACATAGTGAGACCCTGTCTTAAACAAAACACACAAGTTACCACAGACTTAGGATATAAAACCACGGACTCACTATCTTAAGGTATTACAGGTTAAAAGTCTGATGAAGGATTCACCAGGACTAAGTTCTTTCTGGAGACTGGGAGAGAATCCATTTCCTTGACTTTCTCTGCTGCTTTATTAGGCTTCCTCCATACCATGACTCTTGGCCCCCTTCTCCCTCCAAAGCAACAGCATAGCTTCTCTGATTGCGCTTTTGTCCTCTCATCCTGACACTCATCTGGTTTCTCTTCTTTTAAGGGCTCTTGTTATGACATTGGGGCTACTTGGAAAGTCCAGGATGAGTTTCCTATCTGAAAGTCTGCTGATTAACAACCTCACTTTCATACAATACAGCTTCACTTCCCCTATGTTATATAATCTAATATATTCATAGGTTTTAGGCACTAGGGCATGGGCATTTTGGGAGTACCATTCTGCCGCCTTCTATATGCATGTTGTAATTTAGAGTGTTCATTGTATTTGTAACACAGTAGCATATGAAACATTTTAGACATGCGTAATAAAGAGATGTATAGAGAATGTTATTAAAAGTTCCTATTCTTTCTTTTCTCTCATTTTTAGTGACAGGTCAGTCTTATGAGAATATGGTAACTGAGATCATGTCTATGGGTTACGAACGTGAGCAAGTAATTGCTGCCCTGAGAGCCAGTTTCAACAACCCTGACAGAGCAGTGGAGTATCTTTTAATGGTGAGAAACCTATTTTTCTTTTCCTTGTATTTAAGATCAAAATCTCAAAGAAACGTATTTTAAAAGAGTATACTAGGAAATTTATATGTACTTTTATTTTCCTTAGAATCTTAACATTTTGTATTGATAAAATAATTAACTTTTAAGATTCTTTTGTGATTTTAGTTTTAAAACATGGCTAAATATGCTACAAAATTGAGTAGCTGTAGTGCCTTATACCGTGGTTGGTTGTAGAGATGTGTTTTCAATCTAATAGGCCAACATTATAGTAGCTTTTTAGCTGCACTATGATCTGGGAGCTTAGAACAAATTTTATTTTTCTATATGAATTTTTATAATTAATTGCCAGCTTCACAAAACTAGGAAAGTTCATATAAGAATTTTACTTTCTGGTTTGTCTGAACAGATTCAATCCCAGATTTTCCTGAGCAGTTGGAGAAAAGGTTTAGGTCATGAACTCTTTAATTCATTAGCCTTCCCATTCACTCGTGATCCAGTGTCACACTTTTGACTTATTTTTGGGATTGAGAATTGATCCCAGGGCCTTGAACATGCTAGGTAAGTAGTACCCCACCCTTGAGCTGTGTCTCCAGACCCTTTTTAAGTTTTATTTTGAGACAGTCTCAATAAGTTCCCCAGTCTGGCCTTGGACTTGCCTTCCTTCTGCCTCATACTTTGCAATCACTGAGATTACACTGAGATTACTCACTGTCATGGTACATCTTAGGTATGGTATTCTTTGCCTGATTCTGTTGACCTTTGGTTTGTTAGCTTCTGGCAGTCAGTAGTAGTAGAAGGACTTCTGAATAATTGGAAGGGATAGGGTAAAGGTTTTTAAGAATAAACTGTGGACATTGAAGCCCTTGGCATTTTATAAACACAAAAGTCAGCTAGTTGTACAGATGTGCTTACAATCTAAAGTACCACAATATTGGAATAATGCTGGATTAGCCCTTTTTAGTCTTAAAATTTCATTCTGTAATCATCCTTGGTGTTTCTGGAATATTATTCTAAGTTTAAATTGCTTCAAAGATAATCTTTGATAGCTGTGGCCATAACTGTGGAAAATATTGTACAGTCTGTAGTGTAACTAATGCCTTTATGTCTTGGTTGCATTTCTGTTAGAAACTCCTTTTTATTAGCCAGATAGCTTCAGGGAACCCTCAGTCACAGCCACATCACTGTGCTTTTGGCTCTACCAATTATTTCCCTATGTGTTGGCAAATGAGGTTCACGGAATCTTTCCTTACCATATACAGTTACCTTTTTGAATTTTCTTTTCCATTATCCTCTTGGGTATTGCCTTTAAATTCTGGCAGCTGGCTTATGTCTTTCTGGAATTGAGAAGTCTTTGGGTTGGTAGTTGTGGATCATTTTAGGAGGGACTTGCCAGCCCCAGAGTGTAAGAAAATACCTTTACTTTCAAGGAGCAGCTTTAACTTATACCTAATTAGGATTCTGTGTAGTATCAGATATTTTGATTTAATGTATGTGATTTTTTTTTCCCATCTTTTTAAGACAGGGTCTCCCTACGGAGTGAGTCCAAACTGGCCTTGAAGTCACTATGTAGCCCAGGTTGGCTTCAAACTCAAGGCAATCCTCCTGCCTCAGTTTCCCACTGGGGGGATTACAGGCATGTACCACCATGCCCAACATTTTTTTTTAGACAAGGTTTTACTATAATCCAGGCTGACCTGGAACTCACTACGTAGCCTAGACTGGCCAGCCTCTCTCATGCTGGGTTTATAGGTGTGTGCCACCATGCCCAGCTAGTATGTGAAATTTTAAGTAATAAAAGAATCACTTTTCCAGAGTTCAATTTTAAACTGGCATGTAGCATCAAATATAATTATATAAACAGATGAGAGAAGAATTCAGGAAATAGTTTAAATTGTACTTTTTTATATTTACTGTTTAAGCTACTGTTTGAGGTGAGTGGGTAGAAAGAAGTATTAGTCATTTATACCTAATAAAGGCTGTATCCTGTGTGTGTAAGAATTAGAGGTAGATCTGTAGCTGTGTTGACTTGACTTTTCAGTTTAACAAACCGATTGGGGAGTGTGCTGGAAGCCCTTGCCCTTCTGTGTGTACCTGGTTAGCACGTAGTGACTTGTCGCCTAAAGACTTGAATTCGTGACCTCACTTAAACACTTGTTTCCTTTCCTTGCAGTGGCTTCTAGTGCCGGTAGCCATCACTCTTCATTCCTTTTGTTTATGAGTTTGGCTTGTAGTTTATTAGTGAGTGGAAGAATTTACTGCATTTTATTCAGTTATAATACTTCTTTTCTTCGCTTTTCAGTATGTAAGAATTTGAAAAAGAAGTTTCGTGTGTGTATGTGATAGTGGAGATCAAACTCAGGTCCTTGTGCATGGTAGGCAAGCACTTAGCACTAAAAGTTTATATTAGTTGCAGCTACAAACTATAAATCCCATGCATCAAAATTGGCAGTCCTAAAAGTTGAAGTGTTGTTTTAGGTTATAATTTTGGAATATACATGCAATAAACATAATCAAAAAATCACCTAAAAGTTATTTAAATTTCTCTTTTGTGAAATTGAAAAATTCATTTTAGTTGTGAAGCAGCACTTTCTCAGAATCATGCTCAGTAGAGATCTTCCTGTCTGGCCATTACAGTAACCTGATCGTTCACTCCATTTTTATCCAGGAGTCATTTCACAACTGCCATTATGTTTTTTGCTGGTCTTATTAAGGCTAGGGTAGCAAGTGTAGCATCTTGTATCAAGGGACAGCAGCTATTCATGTTTCCAAGAAGTTAAGAATCAGCGTAACTCAAAACCTTGGTTACACGTAGTTTTAATGAGAGATATAACAACATTTAACTTTATTGAGTGTAGTGGCTGTCTTACTATAGAGCACACACAGAGAAAATTTCCATCATTCCACCATCATGGGAATTTCTGTTGGAAGTTACAGTAGAGTGTTGGAGTACTGCACACAGTCAGGCCATTTGAGAGTATATGCAGTTTAAAATTCTTTACTTTTTTTTGAGAGAAGGTCATGCTGTTGTTTAGGCTGGTGTCAAATTCTTGGCAATCCTCCTGCCTCAGTCTCCTGAGTGCTGAGATTACAGGTGTGTGCCACCACACCTAGCAAAAGCCTTTTAATTGAAGTAGACTTCAATTAAAAGGGAAGAGTAGACAGGAATATTAAATAATTGTATATCTTTTACTGTGTATATACTATTTAGCTAATTTTATATAATAATATGTCTTAAAACTTGGAAATTGTGTTGTAGGGAATCCCTGGAGATAGAGAGAGTCAGGCTGTGGTTGACCCTCCTCAAGCAGCTAGTACCGGGGCGCCTCAGGCCTCTGCAGTGGCAGCAGCAGGAGCGACGACGACGGCAGCCACGACCACAACAAGTTCTGGAGGTAAAGTAGGATCTTCTGGATGAGCAGGAGGACTCATAGCTGAGCGAGGGTCTGGGCTCAGTAATGCTAAAGAAGGGCTCAGGAAATTCTGCCAGCTGAGCACAAAAGTGGCCTTCTCCCTAGGAAACCTAATGCTGTTCTGTTTAGTTTATTAAAGAAAAAGATACTTCTATTGTGTATCAAATGTTAACCTTCTGAAGCCATTCTGAATGTCTGGCTATGTGTAATGTGTACAGTGTCAAAGCCAGAAAAATCTTAGTATATTTATTATACAACCAAAGAAGCCCTGGGGGAATTAAAATTTTGTGTCCTAGAGAAAAGAAAAGCTTGAATTGAAGTCTCCTTGCCAGTCAGTACTGAAACTTGCATTACCATGGATCTGACTCCACAGCAAAACCCAGAACCTGCAATGGGCTGGAAATTGTTCTCTTTCATTCATTTTCATTTTCTTTCTTTCTTTCTTTCTTTCTTTCTTTCTTTCTTTCTTTCTTTCTTTCTCTCTTTCTCTCTTTCTCTCTTTCTCTCTCTGTTTTTGGTTTGGTGGTTTGGTTTGGTTTGGTTTCATTTGGGGTGGATTTTTTTGATACCATGAATTAAACTCAAGACCTTGGGCTTGCCACGCAGGCACTGTGCTGCTGAGCTATATTCTGGCCTTTCTTTATTCCATGTGTTGTGGTTATTTTAATTGGAAAGATTATCTTCCCAAATAATTAAGAACATGATAACACTTAAGAATTATCATTACTTTGCAAATTAATATCTTCACACCAAAGTTATAATTGTATGTCTCACTGGCAGGCAGTTCTGATTTGATACATGCATGAAACAGTCATGCCTAAATCACTAGTAGTTCAAGCCATGTTAAAATTAAAACTGTTGAGATACCATTTTAAAAGAATGGCTGTCACCAGAAAATCTGATAACAGATGCTGGTGAGAGGATGCAGATGTGAAAAAAGGAACTCTTCCTCAATCACTATAGAGATTTCTTCAAAAAAACAAAAAATAGGCCTGGCATTGATGGCACACATGTATAATCCCAGCACCCAGGCTGCTGAGGCAGGAAGAATCCCTGAGTTTGAGGCCAGCCTGTGCTGTGTAAGTGAGTTCAAGGCTAGCTTGCACTGCAGAGTGAGACCCTATCTCAAAACAAATTCCATTTGTCCCACCTTTTGCCCTTCTAAGTATCTTTCCAAGAGAGTTAAAATCATTGATACTTGTGTACTCATGTTTATAGCCGCATAATTTATAATAGCTAGATCTTTGAAATAACGTAAATGTCCTTCAGCAGATGAATGGATAAGGAAATGTGGTACTTACACATAATGGAGCACTACTCTGCCATAAATTTGAGTCATTTGTAGGTTAAGTGGATTCAACTTGAAAACATGATGCTAAGTGAAGTAGATCAGATATACAAGCTTAAATAGCTCATAATTTTTTATATAAGAAACTCAAATATAAATACATGCATACATACATAAACACACAAAGAGCAAAACAGAAGATAGATGTTCAAGTAATTCCACGAATTACCTATTCCATTGTTTCAGAAATATTTTGATATGTGCTGGTTGTTTCATTTATACTAGTTTCCTAGTTCATTGAAAAGAAAGTTTTGTGCTATTATTTGTTCTAAGAATTACTTTTTGTGTTGAGTAACCACTTTGAAGATAATGATATACAGTGCATTAACTTGTTACTTTATAAAATTTTCTTTTTTTTTTTTTTTTTGGTACCAGGGATTGAACTCTTGACCTCACACTTGTCAGGCAGGTGCTTATGCCGCTGAGCTAAATTTTTTTTAAAAAGTGTTCAAAGAATTGGTCAGACATATGTCTATGATTCCAGACCTTGGGAGGCTGAGGCAAGAGAACTGTTGTGAGTTTGAGTTCAGCCTGGGGTACATAGGGAGTTCAAGGCCAGCCTGAACTATGTAGCAAGACCCTGTCTCAAGGAAAGAAGGGGGGGGGTCATTCTCAAAAAACATAATTGCCTTTATAAAAAGTTTTAGTTACACCAAACAAACAGCAGCACCCTAAAAAAGGTCACATTTGGAGCCAGGCATGGTGGCTCACGCCTGTAATCCCAGCATTTGGGAGGCTGAGGCAGAAGGATCATTGTGTGTTTGAGACCAGCCTGGGCTACAAAGTGAGCTCACGGTCTGCCCGAACTACATAGAGATCCTGTCTCAAAAAAGACCAAAAAAAAAAAAAAAAATCACATTTGTTGTTATTTATTACAGTAAAGAAAGAGTTGGATATATTAATACTAAATGGTCCTGCAGCTTATATGATCAAAAATATGTTTGGAATTTAATAATAGTAACCAGTCTTTTCTCAGTAGCAATTAAGTTTGCATTAAAACTCCACCTAGTCTCTTAAATCTTTCTGTTACTTTGCATTACCATTTCTTTCCCAGGAATTCTAGTTCAGATTGTGTTCTGTGACTGGTTGTACGGTCAGGTACGCATGCAGCATTTCCGTCAGCAGAGGGTCCCATGAGATTGTGTTGCTGGCTTGTGCTGTTCATTGCAGTTTGTATAAACACAGTGCATGATGTTCACAGAGGGACAGACCCACCTAACTATACATGACTTGGAATTTATTCCATCCTTAAGTGCTGCACGACTCTTATAAAGCTACCTTGTCTCAGTTTTGGTGTATATCTTTCATAGGAACTTATGAGCAATTAGAACCGCTTTTAATACTTTTTATTTTAATAGAATACATGAAGGGCCCAACTTCTTAGTGGTTTTGGGTAATAGCACTCAGGGCAGTTGGAGGAAAGCTTTGTTCTTACAGTGTTCTACACTCTCCACTTTTACTAATAGGAATTTCTGCAGTATGAGATTTGCACGTTGACTTAGAAAGACGTATCAGATGTTTAATACATAGAATCCAGAAAAAGGGCAAAGACAGTAGTATAGTGTGAAGATTTTTGTTATTACTTAATGTGCTTTTATTATGTCTGAGAAGTCAATTTAGCCAACTCTGTTATATCTACTGCTTTTGTTTAAAATTGTTTATGTATGTTTCAGGACATCCCCTGGAGTTTTTGCGGAATCAGCCTCAGTTTCAACAGATGAGACAAATTATCCAGCAGAACCCTTCCCTGCTTCCAGCACTGCTACAACAGATAGGTCGGGAGAACCCTCAGTTACTGCAGGTGATAACTTACTGTTAACTTTCGGTGTACGTGTTGCCAGAGCAAGCACTAGGCTAGGGTGTAATGTGTGCCCCATTTTGAAAAATCTCATGAACATCCCTTTCCATATTCCAAGCTACATTGAGTAGAATACTATGTTCCAGAAGGTATGCTGCCAAGAGTTGGGGTATAGAAATAAATTCAAACTGTTCAAATAATAGTTTGGGAATCATTTTATTATATTTCCTTTTTGTAGATTCCCAGTGTGCATTAACATATTTGAGAATCTGAGAAGCTGTTTAAGAGAGAAACTGCTTAACTTTGTAAATTGCTTTTCATATAAGTTTATTACCAGTGAGACACTGCCTCCTAAGAAAAGATAGCTATTGGTCTGGGCGTGAGTTGCATGCCTATAATGCAAGCACTCACGAGGCTGAGGCAGGAGGATCAGCACAAGTTCAAGACTACTAAACTACACAGTATTACTCTATCTCAAACCACCACCTCTCAAAAAAAAAAAAAACTGGGCTTATTTAATGCTCAGATCAGAAAGTGTTTGAGTTGTGTACAGCTTATATTGCCTATTTCTAAATATATGTATATATAATAAATTGCCAGATGTGGTGACATATGCCTGTAATCCCACCACTTTGGGAGGCTGAAACAGGAGCATCATCATGAGTTCAAGGCCTAGCTGGGATACATAGCAAATTTCTGTCTCAAAAAATAAACAAGAATAAGTCTCTCAGCTTGCAGTCCCAAAGTTGTTCTTTATGAGGGGGATGTTCACAAAAGAATTTGAATTCACTTAGTCTGTTTACCTCAAAAATGCTAAATTTCTTTCACAGTATGCAAGAAATTGTGCTAAAACACTACAGGTGCAGAGTTGCAGCCTTTTATTTGTATGTAAAGTTGCTGTTTTCCTTAAGATGTTTAATGTCACTGTATTGTTCTCCTCTGACCTTTCACCACAGCAAATTAGCCAACACCAAGAGCATTTTATTCAGATGTTAAATGAACCAGTTCAGGAAGCTGGTGGTCAAGGTGGAGGTGGTGGAGGTGGCAGCGGAGGAATTGCAGAAGCTGGAAGTGGGCACATGAACTACATCCAAGTAACACCTCAGGAAAAAGAAGCTATAGAAAGGGTGAGTTTAAGTAAAACTAAAGATGCTCTTCCTTAGCAACATGTCACATGCTCAGTGGTCATGTGGGGTAGTGGTTCCTGTTGGATTCACCAGAGAATTTGGTTTGACTGCACAGAGCCAAATATAGCCCTGCCTTTGGAATTGCAGTCAGGACAGTATCTCAGCCCTGCCCAGCCACCTTGTCCTTTATAAAACCACAGAGCTCACAGTAAAATACCTTTCTTGCATGGAACAGGTATGCAAATATTTAAAAATTAAAATTACCATTGACGTTTTAAAATTCAAGGAGAAAAGCATTAAAGAATATACCAAAAAATTTTTTTCCCACTTACTGTGCAGTTTTAACATTCAAGGAGAAAAGCATTAAAGAATATACCAAATTTCCCCCCCACACACTTACTGTGCAGTTCAGGCAGTTCAGGCTTGAGCTCACTTTGAAGCCCAGCCTGGTCTCAAACTTGCAAGGATCCTCCTGCCTCAGCTTTCCAAGTGCTGGGATTACAGGCATATATCACCATGCCCTGCTAAAATTATTCAGTACTTGTACTTCAAATATTGAGTGTCATCACTGAAGAATTATGTGATACAAACATCAGATTTCAACTATCGGTCCTGATTCTCCATTTTTACCATGTTGGCCAATATAAATTATGACACTTAAGTGACCTTAATGATACTATGATTACTTATTTAATTTCTCCCTCATTTTTAACATTTGTAAACAAGTTATAGAATGTATAATTGCTCTTATTAAATGTCCACAATTATGTGTTAAGTGTAGTTGGCTTACAGTGTTGAATTGTCTTCTGTATAATTTTAATCTGGTTTTGAAAGTGGTAGCGTTGTCTCTGATATAATCCTTAAAATCTGTTTTGTTTAGTATAACTATTCCATCTCACTTTTTGGTTGTTATATGTTCTGTATCCTCCATTATTTTGGACATACTTGTGTTTTTGAATCTAAAATGTATCTTACAATAGTTTAGCAGTTGATCTTTACTTCAGTTATCCTAACTGATTTAGACAAGACTTTTTTTTTAGTTTTGGGTGGTTTTTTGTGGTTTTTTTGGTTTTTTTTCATTTGTTAGTTTTTTCTCCTTTCATGGATGAACAGTTACTTGTGCTGAATTCTCCCCAGTTCTTATGCCATTTCAAGACTTAATACAAGATTGAGACACTTGAGGAAGGAGTTCCCTAATAACATTTAGTTGACTACCTACTAGATTAGGAAATTGTCTTGAGTGTTGGAAACCTTTTAAAAGTACCAGGCACAGTAGGCACACCTGCAGCCCCACCACTCCGTGATAAGCAGGAGGATCACCAGGTGTGTGAGACACCCTGAAGGACACACAGCAAGATCTTGACTCAAAAACCAAAAAATAAAAGCAAATGCATACTGAGCCCCAGGTGATGTTTAATAAATGAGGGAAATGAAATGGAGTAACTGATAGCATCCTTTAAAATGCCCCAAGTACTGAACAGCCAAAATAAAAAAAGTAAAATGCCGTATCTTGGCTGGAAAATATAGTATGTAATTGCACTAATAATCGATCATTTGTGTTTCTGTATGAATGGTAAATAAGGCAGAGGGATTGAGAGTAGTCTTGATCTGTGTGACAACCAAGAGTAACTTTGAGGAAGAAGAGATTTACAGATAATTCTGTACTGTTAACACTCCAGTGTTTTCACCCTTACCTTTATCCTTAAGAACTAAAATCTTCTGATTCACAAATTTCTATAGAGTCATTTATTTTTAAGCCAGGACAGTTAGTTGCTGGTTTACCTAGTTATTGCTTAAGAGTATTTGCATAGTATGCAGTAGTCCTCCACCTTATCTAGGAACAAAGCGCTTTTGAGTGATTGTTGAAGGCTCTATTGTCCCCTTAGGTTGGACAGTGAGTTTCAGTTTAGACAGGACTAAGTTCATATAAAATTTTCAAGAGCTTTTCTAGTGTTGCACATTTTCAAGTAATGATCTGTGAGTATTGCTCTGCTGGAATCCATAGTGTGTGAAAATTAAAAATGCTACGATTCGTGTGTTGAATTTATTTTTTCCCTTTTCTTGCAGTTAAAGGCATTAGGATTTCCTGAAGGACTTGTGATACAAGCATATTTTGCTTGTGAGAAGAATGAGAATTTGGCTGCCAATTTTCTTCTACAGCAGAACTTTGATGAAGATTGAAAGGGACTTTTTTGTATCTCACACTTCACACCAGTGCATTACACTAACTTTGTTCACTGGATTGTCTGGGATGACTTGGGTTCATATCCACAGTACTTGGTATATGATAGTAGATTGTTGGGGTGGGGTGGGCGGGATCTAGGATACAGGGCAGGGATAAATTACAGTGCATGTCTGCTTCAGTTAGCAGATGCCGCAAATCCACAGTGTGTAAAATAGACAACCAAAAATCAGCTTTTGCAGGTCTTTATTTCTTCTATAAAACAGTAGGTGACTTTTCCTAGGTTTCATTCCTCTTAGTGTATTAGTCCAGAAATTTAGTGTAATGCCCTGCTTTATATTTCTTTGACCTAACATTGGTTTCTGAACAAATCCTTGCTATTTAGAATTTATAGTCTGTTTCATGGCAACACTGGATAATGGCTTTTTGAAATTGAGAAGAACTTTGGAGCAACTGTAAACAGAAATACCAAATTATCAGTGGTCATTGTTGCTGCTTCACAAAAGTATAAAATTAATGTGTAAGGAAGCCCATTCTTTCACGTTAAATACTTGGGGTGTGGAGGGGAGAAAGGGAACTTTTTCTTAAATCAAAAATTATTACTGCTATTTTAAAATTTCTTGATCATTGAATGTGAGACCCTTCTAACATGATTTGAGAAGCTGTACATGTGTAGGCAGTTATTTTCTTGTTTACATTTTTTTTGTTGGGGGAAAAATTAGTAGGTGTCTAATTACTGTTTACTTCATTGTTATATTGCAGTAAAAGATTTAAAACAACGATTGCATGTTTGCTTTTGATGTATCCAGTTGTGAAGTTAGCACTTTTGGGGCCAATGGAGAAATGCAGTGTTCGTATTCCCTCTCTCTCCCTTTCTTCCTCTGTCCTTAGCAGAAATGTGTTTTCAACAAGTTAATCAGACTGCTGCCTTTTTAAAAAAATGAAAACAAACAAAAATACCCCTCAGAATGCTGATTCAATTCAAAATTAATGCAGATGTTTCAAAACTGGGTTTGTGGTATTTGTAAATGATTTTCCTTTACTAGATAAGAATGTATTACCATTTAAGTCATTAGTATTATATTGCTTTAAAAAAGAAATGAATTAGAACTATGAGCCAGCATCTTTTACTTCATTGAAAGACTGATGCATTCTTTTGGAATGGTTAGGAGACGTGACTGGCAAAGTACTTTGGAAAATATACAATCAAGCTATCTCATGGCATATTAAAAGAAAACTCAATAGTGGTGTTGGCTTTTATTTGGATTTTGTTTAATCTCAGTTTATTATTCGTTATTGTTATTTGATCATAAAGAGAGGGCAAATGTCTACTTGTTCAGTTTATCAAATCTATTTTCCTAAATATAAATAAGACTGTTTAAAGAAATATTTTTTCCTACCATCTGATATTAAGAAGATGAATTTGCACAGATTTCTCCCTGCATAACTTCCTGCAATATCTTAGCACAGTTTGGTGATGACTCTAATAAGCTTTTACGTCATACACTCATAACCTGTCTCTTGTGAAAATAAATGAAACTATGATTTTCCTTCAGAATGTACCATGTTTAATTTTCATGTGTTTATTTCATAAACATGATAGGCTTTTGGACTTTGTATTACCTGTATGTTTTACAGTGAATCGTGCATAATGTCTCAGGAGAATAAAATGGGGATTTGTAAATCTGTAAGGCATTGACTTGGGAAGAGGGATAACATTTCTGGCCAGATAATGTAATGCACTCATTTATTTTATGGCAATCTATCTGCTACCTTATTGTTCATAACAATAAAAGAAAAAAATGGCAACAGGGGGGAAAACAGCATCACTGCTTTTCTTTGGAAAGAGGAGAAGTTGGTGGCATGGAACTTTTGTCCTTGAACAAAAAAGCTACCAGGTAGTATGCTGGCTGGCTATCAGAAGACAGCTCAGGCCACGTTATGACCGTGCTTCATAGTACCTTGTTTCTCTGCTGCTTGTGCATCAGCCAGCACACAATCAATGAAATGGGCTCTTTGTGCCTTTTGCTGTTACTGTTTAATTTACAGATAGTTTTGGTAAATCTCTTCATGTTAAGTGGATATATGATTTTGGAATTTCGCATTTAAGGTGTACTGTCATCTGTTTTTAAAAATATTTTTGTTAGCTGTACTGCAGAAAATGTGAGGAAACCTACATTTATATTTGTAAGTCTCTTTGCCATCCTCTAGTCAAATTTTTTTATTGTTTAAATCTAACTGGCTTTCCATCATATTTTTCCTGTATCAGATGACTAAGATTCTAGAGAATTGATTATAAAATATTTTCAATACATCCAGCATTGCACTTCTCATTTTTTAAGTGATTCTCTCATAGAATCTTAGCTTGAAAGTTAACAATGCTTGTGTCAGCAGCCCTTCTGCTTTATTTATTATTGATGAGTAATTGCACATCAGGAGGCCAGGTGCCAGCTTGATTTTCCTGGGTCTCCTCACAGACATGGTCCCTACTGTGACAGAAATGTGACAGAAGTTGGGGTTTATGAAGGAGGTTAAGATGGCATGTCATTCCCATCACTTCTACACAAAATGCTTAACCAAAAAGTAAGCAATCTGAAAGAAAAGTACTTCTGTGACCAGCTGTGTTGGGATGGGTTCCCTCGCTGTAAGGCATGGGCACATCTTCCTGCAGGTGTGCTGTCCATTTCCTATTTACAAGTCAGGGCGGCAGACTGAGCCGTAAGAGCCAGATCTGAAACCTGTGTGTGTTAGGGTCCGTGGGTTTCAATGGCTTTAAAAATACTTTTTTTTTTTTCTTACTTGCATTTTGTCTGTAGCTACTTTTGTGTTACAAAGCTTTGCTGCCCAGTATGTTCAGCACATTGTGTGGCCTCCCAAGGCTACTTACCATCTGGCCCTGTTCGGGAAAAGGGTCACCCCTGTTCTGAACTGACCAGTCGGCCATATGTAAATTAGATGATGCCTTTTATTCCTTTCTTGGCCTCCTTATACTCCTTACTTCAGGTTTTAGTTTTGAGTCTAGGTTTCCATGTTGCTATTAAAAGCTCTCCGGAGAGGAGCAGCAGTAGCCGCAGTGTGTGCATGTGCTAGCCTCCTGGTGTCTAAGTGACTGCTTTGAAATTTAAGTCTTGCTATTTCTTGTTCTTACAGATAGAAAGTGAAACTAAGCACTTAAGTGCATTATAAAAATCCTGGCGTACAGATTTTTAAAAGCCCTGGTCTGGGCATCTGAGGGCCCTAGAGTTAGCCACAGTGGAAAGAGTAGGTGACACCTGAAGGGAGGAAGGTAGCAGTTGGACCTTGGGTCCTTTCCAGGGCTGCAGTGTGGGAATGGGAGGGTGGGAAGGGCGGTGACACAGAATGAAGACAGATTTGATGGGGGGAAGCCAGGGCAGTAACAGAAATACATGTGTTCCCTATCGAGATGCAGATTTTCAGGGGCTGTTCATGAAGTAGTTTCCCTGGGAAGATGGACCTGGGAGTAGCAAAGAAAAGGACATTTGCTTGGTGTGGCAATGCCACTTTCATTGTAATAGATCCCACCTAGTTGTCTTCCAGGAGCGCAAGTTGGTCATCCCAGACTTGCCTTATGGGTCAAACCAGTTCTTCCATCCTTGTTCCTGTTGCTGTAGGCCTTCCTCTGACAGCTTCCCAGCATGGGCTTGCCAGTGCAGAGCTGTGTATGGAAGGTTGTTCCCACCCCAGAAGTCTCCCACTGCTTTCTGCTCTTAGCCCACCTGGGAAACCTAGACTACCCTCTTAATCCCCTGCCTCCTCACCCGTGATCCCCAGTGTCTTGTACAGGCAGAGCCTCCACTTACATCCATGAGCATTTGGCTCCACAACCTCTCACCCTGCAGAGTACCAAAGTCTGCAGATGCTCAAGCCACATCTTTTTCTATAGCCAATTCACACCCTCCTGTGTATGTCACCATCTCTGGATTACTTACAATGCCTAATGTGATGTAAAGTTTAAGTAGTTAATATACTCTGTTCAGGGAAGTAACATCTGTACTGTACATATTCAGATGCAATTTCTTTTCAGAATATTGTTGATTTGCAGTTGGTTGCATACTTACTGTAAATAATCTGAAAGACTAGAACAGATTCCCCATGCCCTCTGAGGATAGCACAGAGGACTGGAGAAGCTTGAGACTGATGGTCCTAGTGGCTGAGACTACTATGAGGAGACAGCAGAAGGCCCCTGGGTCTTGGGCATACACACAGAAGTCAAGAATAGACACTAATCAGATGTATGATACACACTTGTAATCCCAGCTTGAGAGGCTGAGGCCAGAGGATCACAAACACTGGACCACAGCCCTTGCCAAGAGGGGGTTCATAAGCATGCAAAAAAATTTTTGTCTTCAGAATTGCACTGTGAGCGTCAGGAGAAAGGACCAGGTCTGACTACAGACCCACTTGGCCTTTTGGTTTTCTCTACTCTTAGCCTAGTAGAAGGGTGCATTGCAGATCCCTAGTGTCTCCTCCCCTTTCTGTACAAAAACCTGGTTTGGCTTTTGTCCACCTGAGCTGTGGTACTGTAAAGATGAAGGGGAGATATGAAGGAAGGAAGCTGACTGGAGATGAAATTAAGTAAAGGTCCACAGATGCACATCCCAATTCAGCACTTCCACTAGGGGGCTTAGTGACTTCTAGGGGTAAATACGGGAAGCTGACAAAGGTGCTTGGTTGACAGCCCACTTCCACAGCTACAGCCTGCCCATCAGTCTCGCCTGTAGGGTCCCTGTGTGTCCATGCACTGGCTGACACCACATTCCACAGGTAGGGTTTTTGCTTTTGTTTTGAAGAGAATAAAAAAAGATACAGAATTTCAAAACAAGGTAATAGGAGATTAGCAATGATTATATTGCATATTGTTGCCTTGAGAATAGTTCCTCAGATTACCAGAGATAGGCATGCAAAATTGATCAAACAATATAAGCACTAACTGTTCTTTCAGTGAACTAATAGAATGAGAAGCACAATTACAAGTAGTTCTTGACCGGGAAACCAGCTGGAGCCAACAGCCTAGAAAAATTCCGGGGCTGACAGTAATCAAGCATAGCACACGTTAGTAGAGGTTCATCATGGATGGGCCCAGAGGAAATACTTGAGGGTAGAGACATATGATCTCAGCTGGGGTTAAGACTTGCAAGTTCCAGGCCAGCCTGGGTTACACAGTGGGTCGAGGCCAGTGAGAGTGTCTCAAGACAAAAAGAAGAAAAAGTTGCTGATGTGAACACATGATCTGCTGTTTGCCCTTGACCTACCCCATGCCTGGCAACCAAGTGCCGTTCTGCCGGATGTCCACCAGGATGGGTGGCATGAGCCCAGGTCAGAGCAGGACATCAGGTAGGTGGCTGGTGCTCCCAGACCTGTGTAATTTTTTTTATTTGTTTGTTTTTTTGTTTTGTCTTTTTCCTTTTTACCGGTACTGGGGATCGAACTCACGACTGCCTGCTTGCAAGGCAGGCACTTACGCCGTTGAGCTAAATCCCCAGCCCCAGACCTGTGTAATTCTACCTAATGAACGATACAGTGCACAATGGCTTTTGCAGGGGCAGTAGAAGAACTTGTTTCTGATGACATCATGGCCAGCGTGAACATGTAGCCCAGCAAGTCACTGGTCAGGATGCAGCAGTGCGTAGGGATGCTCTGGTTCCCCTAAAGGATGACTTGTGAATGCACTTGCTGAAGGCAAGTGGGCCGGCCCGAGCCAAGAGCAGCCTAGACAGTGTAGCAAAAGGCAGCACACGTGTGTAAGTGATTAACAGACACAGCAGGTGTGAGACCACAAAACATATCGCTGTTGTAAAAAGAACAAAACCAGGAGGTTGTGGGGAAGCAAGAGAGTGTGCTCATAAATGCCTTATTCTCACAGCTAAGTTCAAATGTCTGCAGTACACAGCAGCTGACGTGAAGGGGCCGACAGCCTAACAAGTGTGAAGAGAGCCAGGAATATGGCCCACAGGAGGCGGTTGGGTCGCTGAAGGGAGGCTTGCACGGCACCAGTTGGATTGCTCCAGTGGGGACAGGCTCATTTGGTGGACTTCCCTTTCCACAGGCTTTTTCGCTCACGTATAGAGCAGTATAGATTGGGCCTGAATTCCCATTGATTATCTAAACAACTTGATCAGAGTCAATAGAACTGTGGTTTAAAACCACCTAGGGAAGCTACAGTTGTTTCTAGGTTTCCTTCAATTAAGGCCTGGAGATCATGAGACAGGAGCCGCCAGATGGGAGCAGGAGAAACCAGCTGACCAGAAGAACCACACCCATAGCCCTTGATCACCCTATTTGGAAATGGTCATGTCCAAAGTAGAACTTGATTTTATAGTCCAACCTGGCAGGTCCACTTCCAAGCCCTTCCAATGTCTTTTCTTGGTGATTGAGAATGGATGGTGCTAGAAAGTTTGCCCCTGGAAGCCCTGGGTGTTTTGGATGAGGAGGTTCCTGTGCTATAGGAGGTGTCATCGCAGCTGCCCCCACAGTGCAGGCCAGCAGGGACGATCTGCCTGTGCCCTCATGGTGCCTAGCTTCAACTGGGTGGCCCCTAGCTTGTCCATACTGCTTCTGTCACCTGGGCCCCTGATCCCGCCATCATCTCACTCACCACTTTGCTTCGCTCTCTCACTGAGACGGGAGGCGCACACCCTGGCAGTCCTTTTCTGAGCTTCCCACCATACATGGCTTGAGGACCTTCCTCAAGAAGCTACAGGCTTTTTCTTCAACCTTCTTAGCCAAGTCTTGCTGGTGAGCTGAGAAGGGGGCGTTTTTTGGCCTTCCCATGTTTCCCACACTCATCACAAAGACAGTCT